TAAACAATTTTGGCCTATTCAATACACGATTTTAGATATTACTGATAAAAGACCAATAATAGCTGGTATTTTTGTAGGTCAGCATAAGCCATCAAATGTGTTTGATTTTTTTGAACAATTTGTCCAAGAAGTTATTGAAGTACGTGAAGAAGGAATCATTATTGAAGGCAGAAGAATTTGTTTGACTGTGAGCTGTTTTATTGCAGATGCGCCTGCAAGAGCGTTCGCTTTAAATCACTCTGGCCACAATTCATCAAAAGCATGCTCCAAGTGTAAAGTCGATGGCACTTATCATATGGGAAGAATGATTTTTGAAGGAACGGAGCACCAGCTACGACAGATTCTGATTATCGTCAGTGATCGGACTTCTACCACATTGTGGTAGATCTGCCACTTTTTTGAGCATCTACCACACAAGGTCTGAAATCTACCACATCTTCGCGTTTTTGAGTAGTTTTAGTTAATTTTAAGAGCAAAAATTGTCCAACACTAAACACTAACAACAGGCAAAATGTGAGGATAAAATAAAGTGTAGAATAGTAAATTTCCTCAATATTCAATTTTTCGATAGGAAACGTGGTTTTAGGGCCGTTTGCACCATGTCTAGTTAACGCTAACTGGAGGTACATCCTTCAGTTAAGCACGTTAACTGCTTTATCGATCACATGTTATATGATGGGTGTCGATAACGTCGATAAAGATGTTTAACTGGGAGTTAGAATTAACTAGACATGGTGCAAACGGCCCTTATTGTGTTAAATTGCAAAATATATGATTTATAAAAAGAATTAATAGCGAAAATGTTAAAAACAGCGATTTTTGTGAAAGTATTAGCAAACTTCAGTGCATCTAAAGTTTCTAAAGCGTTCTTTACCTTTACTTGAGAATTTTCAAAATCGGCAAATCCCAAGTAGCGGTTTCTGGAACGTGCCACATTTGTTCGCTACATCGTGATGTGATAAAAAGGAAAGCTGGCAGCACTCCGCAAGGTTGCAGAAATCTTTCGAAATATGTTCGAGAAATATCTTGATATGGAAGGAACTCCTTTAAACTGTCAAGGAAAAAAATTGCTAAAACTCAACGCAATATTTAGCAACTTCAATGTTGCACTTTATTATACTATAATTAATTTTTTTATATTCTAATTAAAATGTTTGCAATTTAGGTGAAACCTTGCAGAATATTTTTAATTTTTGTACAAAGTTTGATCCAAAACCTGAGATCTACCACATTTTTTTGAAATCTACCACATCTTTTTCCAGATTCTAGCACACAAATTTATTTTTAAGTCCGATCACTGATTATCGTAATCTAATAGGCGAAGACCATCATCTTGGAAGAAGCCCTTTGATAGAGTTGCTTGGTTTGGTAACTAAAGTACCATTTGAAGCTATGCATTCCGTTTGGCTTGGAAAAGTTATGAAAGCTATAGTGGAAAACGTTGACGGATATGTTCTCGGCGAAGGTTATCAGGCAGAAAGTTGCATATCCTTGATTCCAGAATGCAACAACTACAAAATTATTGTCCCTCTGACTTCAACCGCAGGCCAAATAATTTCTCATAGATTTAAGGCAACTGAATTAAGCTCTGTACACAACTGTGGCTGTATTTAAAAATGTTTTTGAAGACGATGCTTATGAACATTTCTTGTTATTACATATGCTAAAATGCTTTAAAAACATACGTACAAATGTGCGAAGAAATGTTTGAGTTGCAATTTCCTTCCTATAATATGCATTGTTTAATTCATCTAGTGTCTGATGTACTTTAACTTGGTGATATGGAGTCATTCAGTGCATTTTGTTATGAAAATAATATGCCTGAACTACGTAAATTAATTCGCAAGCCAGGTCTTCCTCTCCAACAGATTTACAAAAGAACAACAGAATTAAATGACTTCATATGTACGCCTTTCAATGATAACATTCAGGTACGTCTATCTTTGCCTCATGCAGATGGTCCTCTTCCAGAAAATATATTTGATGCTCAATGTCGACAATATCGAAAGTTGGATATCGGAAAACTAATATTGTCAACAAATTTACGTGATAGCTGCTGTTTTCTTAGGGATAGAAGAATTGGGATAATAAAAAACATTATAAAAGTAGAGGAGCAAATATTACTGATTTTCCAAGCATTTCAAAGAAAAGAAGAATTGTATGATATTGGAATACGGTCTAATACTGTTGGTGTACACCATGATCCAACTGACAAGATGAAGCAAAAGAAAAAAGTAATTTTCTGGCTGACGTTTGTAATTTCGGCGCAATGTTATTTTCTTTGAAAAGTAAACAAAGAATATGAAGACGAAGCATAAAGAAAAAAATGCAAGCAATTTTGCAGCACATGTTTGTGCTAACCAAATTATTATTTTGTACGTTTTTGCCATCAATCACCGCGCACTTCATTTTAAATACATTTGCACAAAAAATTTATTGAAAATCGCTTAAAAATCACTGAAATAAACCACCGACAAAATATACATAAAGAAAGAAGCAAAACAGAAATGGCAAACTTCAAAATTACGAACGTCACACACTTTTTTCTCAATTGCCATTACAAATGGCTGCTTCTCAACCGGTCAGATCTGTTCTAATTGGTTCATGGGTGTACATCACTGTAAAATGTTGTCAGATACAGTAGAAGCTATTTCTATCAACAATTTCGAAGACAAATGCTATAGAATGGCCTATTGGAGTAATGTTGCAGGAGAAGAAGAAAACCCAGTTGATAACCAGTGGATCAGTTATACATTGCTTACAGGCTATGAAGTTCCTCAAAATTAGCTTAATATGTACATATGAAGCTTTTTCATATGCCTGAAACATTTTTAGCTTGATTTCAATTACGAGTATTCTAGTGATTTTCGCTTTTATCAAATTATTTATTTATGCTTTCAGATAATGGAACTTCCAGAACAAATAACTAATGATTTCAAGAAGCTGTATTCCAAAGATGCTCTAAGAACCAGTACGTCCGGGAAAAAAATAAAAACTCCAAAAACCTATTTTAGCACATCAGGCGAGGAAACTCTCATAAAGAAAAAAGGAAAAAGTAAAGAAATAGAACAATTATTGGCCACTACGAAGAAAGTTGGTGAATAAAACATCAAGGATCAAAGGAGTTTGTAAGTATATAAAAGATATTTGTTGCTTTTTAAGGTTTAAATTTTGAATTATCTATGTATAATTTAAAATAATGTGTGAAAATATTTATTTAATAATTCAAGGTCTACAACGGAGATTTCTATTGTACAAAAAGTGGAAAACCGATTTTAAAACTATCGACAGACATCAATTGTCAGAAGAGATTGTATGTATAAAGCTGACGACACACAATCAGTTTTGCCTTTCAATTTCCCCACACACATTTCTTGTCAAAAATCATCAAAATTGAAAGCCATTACGTAGGCTGCATTTAATTTGAGAAGCTATTTCATTATCAACATGTCGTCTTCAAGAAAACAATGTAACTGAAGACCATTTTCCATTTTTAATTCCACTGTAGATTAACATTTTAGCATGCAGAAGCTTAGCATTTTTTTATTTTCACAAAATTGAAAGCAAAATTGAAAGAAAAATTGAAACTCAATTGAAAGGGAAAAATTGAAAGCAAGTTGCCCATTCAAGTAATAAATAAGAGTGTGTTGAAAGGGGAAAATTGAATGTGTAACGTCCCGGTAAAAAGATATTCGTTTGATTTATTAAACTTGTATTCATTAACTGATATAGCATTATTTTGATTGTATCATTTAAGGTCTGTAACGGAGGTAATTACTGGCCCAAGGGGAGAAAAGCGTATCTTAAATCGTCAAGAAGGCAAATCTGCAAATATTTTGTGGGAGATGCTGCAGAGGATGAACCAAAAATATTAATTGATATGGCTGATATTCAAAATATTCCAGTAGAAACTGAGTCTCCATACGAGAAGATGATGAAAAAACTGGAGTAAGTATTTTAGTTAGTTAATAAACATTTGAGAGACATTTGCTTGTTTCAAAGTTTACTTGGCACAAGCAAAAGGAGACCGAGCAGCTAGGAAATACGAGACTGTCCAAAATATTGTACCGTGAGTATGAAATGTTATTTCTAAGAAACTAATCAATTTACAGTGCTACAACTCCGCTCATAATAAAATGTATATTAATCTATTTGTATATTGCTAAATTACGTATAATTATAATTTTTTCATTTGCAGTGGATTGCCCTCTATTTGGTGGCCCGAAGAGTATAGAGGAATTTCAAGCTTGCAATGCTGGATGTCCTTAAAAGCACCAAGCAAAGGTACCGAAATAAATTAAAAAAAGGAAAACTTGTGGGACCTGATAATGAGCAGACTTTGTCCAGAAAAGATATCGAAAAAGAGCTTGCTTCTACTAAAGAAAGCTCTGCTCTTCAGTTGTCGGAGGGAGAGATGGTAGATTGGGACTCTGTCGATAAAAATTTTTTCATATAAAGTGTATAAGACAGTTCCTATTGTCCTTATTGGACAGGATCTTTTGTGACGTGGGCAGTGGATATTAAAGACTTCTTATTTTAGCTTTTTAGTTCCTCTGCACTTACAACTAAGTGCTTAATCCGTACGCTTTTTGTTGTACTTAATTCTATCAATTGAATGAATATAAATAAATAATTTATTTTAAAACCCTCAGAAGTTAGCACCAAAGAAAAGCATTTAAAAAATAATACACTTAATTTATTTATTTTAAATGCTTAAAAAATAGTAATTGTCAAATATTTTGCGAAAATGAAATTAAAAAGTGCTTTAATTTGGTGCTCTCTAAGTGTGGGTAACTCTGTAAATTTTGGTGTGCTGACTCAGTAACTCCAACTCAATTTAATGAGTCAGCACAATGAGCTGGCACAAGTGTGCTATCACACAATTGGTATGTACATCGAAATTATTGATGATGTTAGTAATCGAAATCGATTTAGAAAAGGTTATCCTTAGCTTCTGTTCGTAGCTGGCCGGCAAAATTTTAGAAAGCTGATTTCCACTGGTGAGTTCATTTGCAAAATAATTCCCTACTTAGTTTTACTTGAGAGTTGTCACATAAGAATCTGTAAAATGGGCTATGCATGTAAGCGGTTACCCAACGCATAGCACTTCACATGTAGAATTCTATTTGGTTTTGAATTTTACGTAAAAATGGTATAGCAGTGCAAGTATGCATAACTGGGCTATTCGCCTTGCTTCTTTTTAAATTTAGTAGTCGTATATTCAATTGATGGTTAGTTTAGAGATGCCATCTATTATGGTACTTTTTGGAAGATGTTATTGTATGAATGTGTGAGTTCATCAATTGAGTTACCACATCGACACAGTTCTAAACAATGCAAGCCGCACCGAGCTATGCAGTGTCAGCACATCAACTGATTTACCATATCGGCTCTTTAGCATACTGAGCTATACATTGTCAGCATAAACCAAAAATACAAGATCACGCGGGCAGAAGAGTAGCCCGTTAGAATCGCATTTATAAAAAAAGTTTAACGATTTTGACAATAGCCGTTTGTTTACATTTCTTCATTGTTTACAATTTGGTCGTGGTTTTTTACTGCAATTTTCTTCTTTTTCGCCTGTGACAACGTGTGTGCACATAAGGTAAAGAATAATTTAACACAACGGCATGATTTATAGAAGAATTCGCATAATAAAAATGATTATTCATGCGTTCAACAATTTCGCGGGTTTCTCCGTTCTCTTCGTTGTTTACTTCTTACAACAAAGATGGCGTCGAGATTTCGGCAGCTAGAAAATAACTTTTTTCGTTCTTTCCCTCCCGCGTGATCTTGTGTCTTTCGTTCATGCATTGTCAGCATATAAACTGAGTTACTGAGTTACAAATATTTTCAGAGGTGAGTCTGAGCGTGCGGCACAGTTCTAGGAGTCAGCACAGTAACTCAGCACAGTGCTGAGTTACCCACTACTAGTGCTCTCCTAAAACTATCACTATAGTATTTATGTAAGTATAACCTACACGTCGGGCACGCCTACGGCTAGCACATCTGGCAGGACTATCGCCGGCACGGTGGGCAGGCCATTGGTAGGCACATCGGGCGTCGGACCCCGGTCTGGCTATTTCGCCAGCCATAGCGCGCATATTACGCTGCTTATTCGCCGGCACGACGGTACGATCAATCGGCAGTCGGTCCGGCAATATCGCACCCTATAAGTTGGCATTTTGTTATCTGGGTTTGGTTTTGTCGTTGCCCTTTTCTTTGTTTCTGCCCTTGTATCTTGCTCTCTGTATTTTCATTACCCACTCCACAGTGGCGATAAAAGTTCAATGCAGCCGCCCCCTGTCTATTCACGCATGCGAATACGCATAAGTAAAAAATAATTTTTATTTTCTGAGCAAAAAATAAAACTCAAGAAATAACGATTATTTTCCGACCAAAAAATGAAACTTAAAACGTAACCATTATTTTCCGAGCAAAAAATAAAACTTAAAACGTAACGATTATTGTCCCAACATAAATAAAACTCAAAAAATAACCATTATTTTACGAGCAAAAAATAAAAATCAAAACAACGAATATTTTCTGAGTAAAAAATAAAACTCAAAAAATAATCGTTATGTTTTGAGCAAAAAATAAAACTCAGTAAATAACGATTAAAAAGTAGTTTTTATAATAAAAGTTATAACCGTTGCGGTCCCTGGAATTTCAACACGCCATTGTGAATACAAGCTGCCCATGATGCAATAATACAAGGTGTTATCAGTTGGCAACTTCTCGCTCTAATTCCGCCATATTGACTGCCTTAGCAGAAACAGTGTTACTTCTTTAACAATTCTTTGCCCAATAATATAGTTGAATTCTTTTTATTTTTTCTCTGTATACACATTTTGTTTTCTCAAAAAGGTATTATATGTTATTTTATTTAATTTCATTGCGAATATACTATAAAAAAGCAAATTTTGTTTAGAAGAAAATATGAAATCTTATATTTTTCCCCCAAATGGGGATTCATTTCTTCCCGTTTTTGTTCTTATTCTACTAAGCTAAGGCAGTGTCAAATCGAGCTGTCACAACTGATACCACCTTGTATTATTGCATCATGAAAGCTGCCTACCATTTGGCATATTTGCGGTTTATCGACTCTTCGGAAAGTAGTAGATAAACGACTATTAAGCGATTATCGATGCTATTGTGAGTGCCGCTTAGTCGCTCAATTAGCGACTGTTAATACTTTTTAATCGCTCATCCTTCTGTTGCTGTTTTTTAGTCGTTGGAGTATGCGTGTATAAAATTTACATAAGAAAGTGGTACTATAAAGGATAAAAAGTAAGTCAATTGAACTGGAAGTTTTAAAAATTGTGAAATATACATATGTATGTATGTGCCTGAATTACAGATCAAAAATTGTAAGCAACAAAAGGCAACTTGCGCGGTTGGTCGAGCTGATGCAGGAGAATGAGGGCATAGGCAAAGGAATTTTCGGAAAGAGTAGGGTCTCCGCTTCTATTGTGAAAGATATACAATATTTCTTGAGCATATAACTCCGGGTACGCCATCCACAGTGTTTTTGCGCAGAACCAACATCAAAGTTTACAAAAAACTGCATAATATATTAACTAGTGCTCGGAAATTTTAAATCTTTATTTTAAATTAAAGTTTAATTCTTTCGCTACACTTGTATGTTAAAATTTTTAAAAGCTTTTGTACACAACTACTCAACATCATTGTTCAAATAACTAAACCGTACCAATTTCTTAAACTTCCATAAAGTTTATTAATGAGGAAAATAGCTTTTCCTGCAAATCCTGTAAAACCTGCAAACCGTGAAGCATCTCGAACGCAACTTCTATTCATAAAATTCACATATGTACATACACTTCATCTTCCAATTCCAAGGGATTCTACGAATCTCGCAATTCCCTCCTTGCTTTAGCCAACTCTACTAATTTATTAGCTTCCACTTCATCTTCCTCATCACTAAACCATATTTCAACTGTATCCATTTTTTAAATTTTATAATAAAAGCAATTATTTTTAAAATGATGTAAATGAAACACTAAAGAAACAAATGTTAACAAACAAACAGCTGTTTACAATTCAGTCAACCATTCACAATAGTACAAAATTATATCGATCAAGTTACACAATAGCAAAATAAAAGACTTTCGACTCGATCGACAAATTCTATTCTACTGCCAGTCGACACTCGCAACAGGGGCTGAAATAAATTTACACCAAACAATAGAAATAGCAAAAATTAGCAAACAAAATACTTTTCTTAATTTTGCTCTGTTGTAAAATTTCTGAGAAATGTGAATTCACCGCGATGCAATACAGCAAGGACAAGGACCAGTAGTGCGTTTCTGTAACTAATGTTATATTATATAGCGAATTTTGTCATAACGCGGTATCGCATAGTTGATATCGCAAACGATATCCGAAGTGTTTTTGTAACTCAAAAAACTCACCTTGCAATATATTGGTGGTGAGTTTTGTTAAAATTACACAAACTATCAGAATGACGAAAATATGTTATTGTGTATTTGTGACAAATTGAAGCAAAAAGTAAGAAGTTTTATATATTTTGAGCATTAAAAACATTTTGCATTTTTAATTGATTCAATAGTTTTTTCAGTGTCAGAATATAAAAACGATGGTTGCTTATCTACTATTTAAATTCAATTTATCAAGTCTGTCTTGTTAACAAACATAACAACATACATACAAACATTAATTTCTTCGAAAATATGTGCTTCTTCAGATATATTGAACAAAATATACACCAACCAAAAAAAGTTTCCCGTACAATTTCTTTTAACAATCTCAGTCCATAATGTTTTTCACAAATTTTTTTTTTTTTTGGTAAAGGTATTATATTTATATTGGTAGTTATATATATAAACTATTTGAACAAAAGATTCAAACTTGTTCTAAAAATCAGAAACACTTGCCAAATTTTTAGGAAAATTTCAAGCTATTTTGGCACAATTTTTTGAAATTTTCATGGTATGAAGTTTTGTAGCCCATTCAATTCTGTTATAATAATCTGATTTGAAGTTGCTACAATATCCCGTTGATTTTTGATATTTTTTGCTGACGCCATCAGACATTTTTTCCGTACAAAGTATGTTTTTTTATATAGATTATTTCTGTAAAAAACAATTTATTTGTCTTAAAAAAATTTGAAACAATTGAAATCATACATATCTCACTCATATCGGACGCTTTTTGCTGCGAAAGCTAAAACTCGCTTGCCTTACAGCTAGTGATATATTTATCGCAATATTTTTTTCACCACAGTTACAGAAACACTCGGTTGCGATAAAAGTGAAAAAGCGTTATATTTTACGATATAAGGTGTATGGCAAGGTTACAGAAATGCGCTAAAGGGATGCATTCAAGTAAAACTATTCACCCCTATCACCGTTGTCGAGTGTCGATTTCTGTTCCTGTCGACCTCTCCGTCGAGTAGACTAAAAATCCTAATCACAAAACAAAGTCCCACGGTGCAGCGAACAAAGGTGGCGCCGTCAGTGGTACCGCTACTTTGGTTTTGCCGATTTTGACAGTTGTGGTAACTTGTAAATAAACCTTTGGTTACAAATCAGCGAAAGAGAAATCAGAATTATAAGTGAAAAATCAGTTTAAATTGTGTTAATTTTCAATTTGTGAGTGATTTTTGAGTTGAACTAATACAATGAAGTGCTCTGTGTTAAATTGCGACAACCGTCAAGATGCAAGAAGCGTAGGTGCAAGTGTAGCGCTGGGACGAATCGCTGCATTTTGTGTACATAGGGCACGGCATTGCCGTTCCCGAAATGTTTCTCTATTATTATATTCACAGCATTTCCTCACAATGATTTTGTTTCTGCTCCACGCAGCCTCCATTAGCAAGTTAACTAATCAATCCCACAGAGATGGTGCTGCAGTTTTCTGCAGGAGCCTTAATTGCAAAGCAATGGAGTGCACTAAAACGTTTGCTGAAGCAGCCTCAATTGCAAAGCAATGGAGTGCACTACAATTTTCACTGTTCTCTAATAGATTAGGTGAAAAATGCAATATTTTCGCATTTAGCAAAATTAAAACACGTTTTGCGCAGTAAAGCAGTGTTTGCATTATTCAACTTTGCGTTCAACAATTGCGTTCAACTCAACGCAGGGTTGCACGAAAAAAAGTTGAATGGCTAAATGTTGGCTGGCGACCAACTTTGTTGAAAGCGATTAGTTGAAAGGCCATTCAACCAAAAGTTGAATGCAAAGTTGAACAATGCAAACACCTTTTTATGGCGAATATTTTGATATTTTTTCATATTTTGATATTTTTAGCCATTCAACTTTTTTTCGTGCAACCCTGCGCTGAGTTGAACGCAAATGTTGAACGCAAAGTTGAACAATGCAAACACACTTTAAAGTGAACTGCTTTGGCTGTTTCAACTCGTTCTTCTTTTCGCTCTATTCTCTAGTCTCTAAGGGCCGTTTGCACCATGTCTAGTTAATTCTAACTCCCAGTTAAACATCTTTATCGACGTTATCGACACCCATCATATAACATGTGATCGATAAAGCAGTCGATGTGCTTAACTGAAGGATGTACCTCCAGTTAGCGTTAACTAGACATGGTGCAAACCGCCCTAATAGGGCGTTTTTGAAGGAACAATTTCATTTCCCAACACTGATACAGAATGTAAATAAACACAGGGTTGCAAAGAAAAAAAGTTGAACGAGCTCAAAGTTGGCTGGCGACCAACTTTGTTGAAAGCGATTAGTTGAAAGGCCGTTCGGACGAGGCGATTTTTGCTTTCAACTAAAAGTTGCCTGAAAAATCGCAGCGTGTGAAAGCCCTATAAGTAATTCGCTAAGTAATTCGTGAATTACCCTGTTTCCACGTCACACATTAGTAATTCGTTTGGCAGCTCTAGTTCTTGTTCTTGTTCTTCGCTATTTATTATTATTTTGTGTACTGCAAATATCGAAGATGGAGCTACAATTTAAGTTAACATCAACAATTTTAATTTATATAGAGAATATTTCATTAATAGAATAACTAGAAAAAGTGCCAGCAAATGGGCCCAGTCCGGTGACATCTTCGATATATTTCCGATAAATATTAGAGAATGCACCGATTCGTTCGTCATTCGTCATTCGATCTGAATTATTTACAAATGAGGTAATTCGCTCTCAAAATTTTGTATGGCGAATTACGTAATTCGGAAGGTAATTGGCAAGGCGAATGACGAATGGGAGAGCGAATTACGAAACGTGGAAACGCCGTGTTAAATTGTGAACTGCAAACGTGAAAAGAGGAAGAATGTAAACAAATAGAAACTTGCAAAACCGCCAGAAATGTGTTTTGAGTAGGAAAAGATAACAAATATAACTTCTTAAATATGTGTGATAAAGAGTGAGTTGTGAATCCAAATTTCTATAGGTAATATAGGTATTGCGCAGTCGTCTATGTCTGGAGTCCTAAAGGAGGTGCTAGATTGTCTGGAAGAACAAATTTGTCCAAAGTGGATAACAATGGAAATGACGAATGAAGAAAAGATGGAAGCAAAAGAACATTTTTATGAAAATACCCAATTTCCTGGGGTTATTGGTTGTGTGGATGGTACCCACATTAGAATAATTACTCCGTGTAAGGATCAGCAACATATGTATTTCAACAGAAAGGGGTTTTCCAGTCTGAACGCAATGGTTGTAAGTACATACATATGTTTAATGCAAAAAGATTTTGAAATACAAAATTTTGCTATTGATTTTTAGGTGTGTGATCATAAAATGCAGATTCGGTACATTGACGCACGGTACCCCGGAGCTAGTCATGATGCATTGGTGTGGAATACCAGTGAACTAAGACGAATGATGCAACAAAACTACGAGAATGGGGAAAGGAATTCGAGGATTTTAGGCAGGCTGTCTAACGATTATGTTCTATTTATAGTAATTTTTTGTGCAATATAGGCGATGCAGGATATCCTTTGGAACCTTTTTTAATGACACAGTAACGGGCAGCTGAACTGAATAGCTTGGAGAGCAAGTATAACATTGCACACGCCAAAGCACGGAACATAGTGGAGAGAACCATCGGGGTCTTAAAAAATAGATTCCGGTGCCTGCTTTCTGCTCGTCAGCTGCATTACTCCAACAAAAGCAACAAAATTTGTTAACGTATGTGCTGCGTTACATAACATTTGTTTGTTCTACAATGCTCCCTGCATCGGGCAATTAGAAAACCAGGAGAGCGATGGAACACATTTAAACCTAGATGTGCCAACAAGTTCTGACAATAATAATGTAGCAATTCGCATAAGAGACGGAATAAAGAACTCAATGTTCATTGAGCATTAAAAATAAACGAAGCTACATTTCAGACTTTTTTTTGCCTTTCTTTTAGCTTTCTCTTTCTTCCACTCAAACTTATCTTTAGCTAATTTTAACTTTTCCTCCTCCAGGTGTAGCAATTTATGTTGAAACTCTTTTGAATCTTTCATGTGCTCAATATTTTTAAAACTCAGTCGAGCTTCGTTGTAAAAACTCCTCTGAATATCGATTTGATCCACGAGAAGTTCCTTTTGACTCTTTACTTGGTTTTTTTAGCGCTTTCAAGTAAAGAGTTGGAACCAGCAACATTCTCTGCTATTTCTTCGTCGGACAACAAATCCATTAACATCATCTCTTCTGGTGATGGAGTTGATATGGGTTTTGGTGGCGCAGATAGCTTTGTTCCTGAAGATATGATGCATTTGTTTGTGCGATATTTCTGGTGCCTAAGGCTATCTGCACACTTGTCGTCCAATCATAGTTGCGTTCTCGTCTCGCCCTGAAATTTTGAGCCGAGCACATGCATTTCAAAGGAGATTGGCACACTTGTCGTTATCGGCTAGTTATCGGCAAATTGTAGAAGATGCAGAAACGGATAAGTACGACACTGTCGTTTGCTTATCGTTGTGCACGCATTGTTTGTTTACATTTTATGGGAAAAAATTAGTGAAAAAGTTAATATTTTCATTAAAATTGCAAAAAAAATAGCTTTTTTTTCATAAAAGCTGTGGAAATTATTAAAAAGTGCATAATTGCATTACAATTCAATAAATGTGAGCGTTTTAACTAAAAAATATGACGAAATTGTAAAAAGCCTGTGTTTGCATGCTCAAACCACATTTCAGGAAAAGAAAAGAAGAGATATTACTTAAAAAATGATGTCTAGAATTGTTGCAGCACAGTCTATATTTTAAAAATTGCAGGTTTTTGTCAATACTTCACGAAAATATCAACCAGAAAAACAAAAAATACCTGCTCCAAGTGAATTTTTAGACGCCAAATGAATTGAAATATCACGACCGAGTGTGCGAAAGTGTAGGCGTCATGTAATCGTTGCATTATGATTGTGACGATGAAGCAACTATGATTGGACGACCAATGTGCAGAAAGCCTAAGGCTACGCCAACTGGGTTTAGCATCTCATTAAAGCACATTACATTGGCGATACGGGTTTCCAATGGGGAAAGCGACTGTTGATTAAAAACGCCTCCTGTAGCGTTTACTTCGCGTTTATTGTGGACTATTTTTTTCTTAACTTTTCCCTTTAAGTTAATCGACAAATATTTTCCGTTACTTTTGACATTCGAATGTAAACTCGACTACAAGGATGCGACAATTTCGATTAACAGTCGAGCTCGGCAGTGGTGATTCGAAGTAATTACTGTCGACTGGATTTATGCCGACATCGATAACGGTGATAGGGGTGATGATTCAGCGGCAATGCTCAGAACGCTCCAAGCAGCAATATTAATTTGAATCACATATAACATTAAACGGTGGTTCTAATACATTTTTTATAATTATTAATCAGAGTAAATAGGTTATATTGCATTTTTTTTCGAAAATTAATGCACTATATGCATTTTTTTTCAAATATTTCTGATGATTCTTTCATTAGTGCTGAAAAGCAACTATGCATGTAAGAAATTATATGCTGCCTAAAATTTCACCTCTGGAAACTTTATCCCCATAAAAGACTTCACCACAGTTTTTTTTTTACTTGATATACTAAGCACAGGCCTGTTCTGAAATCCGATTTCTTTCGGAATCGGAATTGAATACGATCGTAATTGCAGAATCGTGTTCTGTAACCCTATCGAATTTACTTTATCGGAATCAATGTTCGAATCCGATTATTCACCGTGTTTGGTGTTCTGTATTTCGATTTATCGGAAATTTCTGTTTAAATAAATCCGACAAGGTTTTAGTTCGTGGAATTAATACGTTTTTTTAGTTTGGTTTTACGAACCATATAAAATTAGGAAATGTAAGTATAAAGCATCGTTTTCATATTGTTTTATAAATTATTCAGTAGTGGTATTCATCTAAACCGACAACTTTATCAAGCAGATAATCTTATAAGTTTACGCACTCTGTTACATGAACGACCCACGCTCTCTTTTCGTTTATACTTGCGACAATAGTCGTGTTTTCTTTGGTTATCGAGCTCAGTATCACTAACTTTATTATAGAAACTAACTCACTAAATGGGAAAAAATTATATTCACGAGATAATATCTGTTTAAATAAATATACATATAACATAAAGGCGATTAATTTGAACCAAGTTAGAAGAAACAATGGCAGAATGTCTGTTTGTGTACTAATTCATTTGTCACGGCTACCAAACTTTGCAGCCAAATTATCACTAAAATAAAACAAACAGAACGGATAATAACGGATCTCTATCAGGATCATATCGTTGTTGTTGAATTTGCGTGCAAAATTTTAATGCGGATCCCGATTATTGCCCAAGAAAACATAGCTAGAGTTGCGACAGAGTTGCATTGGCTTCAGTTTATCAAGTTTATTCAGTGAAATCGCTGGAGAAATTTATCAGAAATGCGTAAACGAGTTTCCATACAAATTTTGACAGTTCATTTATACGGTTTACACAATTATAACTTTATACGATTTACAATGCATTTATAAGGTTTGATGAATACCCTTAGTATTTATATGTCATTCACTGACTGGAAATGTGAGGTACGGAAGAAACTGGCGCATAGCCGTAAAGAATCTTCCGCAAATGGTGGCGGAGCATTTAATAGGTATACCCTCACAGAAGCTGAAGAAACTCTTGCTCGCATAATGGACATGTATACAGTGGTGCAGGGTATACCTGAAACAACGTTATTTGGGTTGGATGAGACGGTTGACCTCCAGGTGGAAGTCCTCGATCTAACCGAGGAAGAAATCATGCCCTCAACATCAACGGTCATTAAACGACCACAAAATGATGTGATTCAGGCGTCAACACCCAAAAAGAAAAAAGAAATGGCAGTGCTGGTTAAACTTAATTGAGATTTTTAGTTATTCAGCATACCATTTTATATGTTTTAAAGAACTGCCTTAGGTAATCCCTAGAAACGCAAAAGCATTTAAACAACAAAGTGGGAGGAATTGTGGATATATTGGTCGAAAATCAGAAAATAGCACCATTATTATGGAATGGTTCTGCAACGCTTTGGAGAAAATTAATGAAATGTTAAACGTAATTAAAGAAGAGCTTAGGCATCATCACGACAATGTGGAAGAGATTTTAAAAGAAAAATAAGTATTTAAAGTGACGCACAGAAGAATTTTGCAATATTTATGTTTTACGATATTCAAAATGTTTTTCATGGTAATTTCGTCGTTATTTTTTTTTAATAAAAATATAGCTTATTCTGCAACAAAAGCCATGTAAATAGCCGGGATGTGTTGCGTTAACAGCTTGAATAGTCATGTTGTGATCACATATCTGCAATTTCTAATCGAAATAGAGAAACCCAGTAAGAAAATAACCACGTGTTCTTTATGTATATACTCACAATCATAGCATTTTTGCTGAAACAACCCTTTCTGTTCTAATATGAGAGGGCATCTGCCACTGGCTTTATTAATTCGATATGGGTGCCGTCAATGCACCCGATTACGCTAGGTATCCCGCATTTGTTAAAAAAATTTGCTTTACAATGGCGTCGTTCACTTTCTGGCACATTTAGCTTGATCCACTTTTGGCATAGTTTACATTCGAGCACGTTCAGCAAATTGCCAGTAACTTTTGAAACAGTGCTACGACCTAAGCTGATGTTCGCATCTTTCCCTACCGACCTCTGGTAACCTCCTTTACCTAAGAA